GGTATGTCTCATGCGGGGATGTAAGATGACGGGTAAGGGGAGGTGTTTGTGTGACGCGGCCCCTGGACTTAATCCATGGGAAAAGTTGGTTGGACGAGAAAAGCGAAACCGAAGGAAGGTAGCGATATACTCAGCATCAAGTCAATAAAATTGCTGGCGTCGCTTCGTTCGTCAGTCGCGCGGCCCTTCGCTACGCTACGGGGCGCTTCCTTCCTCTCTCCCGCTCCTGGCAATTTTCCTGTCCCTCTCCGGAGGACAATCGAGCTAATTTATTGTTATTAAGTACGGGAGAGACGAAGCGCCAATATCTGTCCGGAGTCTAATATTGTTCGGCCAAACTGCTTGCTATTTTCTACATGCTTAATTCGTAGTCACACATAACTCTCCGTATCGCTCGCTTCCACGTTGCTTGGTCGGTATAGCGGCTCTAGCAACCTAGCCTTCCAACGCCTCTCGTAATCCGCCAGCTTCCTCTGCATGGCAGCAGTCGGCGGGTCCCGGTTCACTCGGCTTCGGTCGAATGGTACGTCGAACATCACCCCGTCCAGCCTCGACGCCCCGGGAGACGGCCACGTATGACAACCCGGAAGCGAACTCGCGCTCCGAGATGTCGCACACCACCTTGGGCAGCGTGATCCCCTGGGACTTGTGCACCGTGATAGCGTACGCGACCACTAGGGGGAACTGTGTGCGGCTGCACGTCTTGTTCTTCAGGGTGAAGTCTTGCCTCACCTGCAGGATCGGGACCACCAACCTGCCCTGCCCGTCCTGAAGCTCTACGTCTCTTGTGTAGTACGGCGGCCCCGTATACTTGTCGAGGGCCACCATGATGACCAACGGCGGATCCCGCAGGGGGTCCGCCCCTTCCGCCCAGCCGATATCGTGTACCGTGCCTTGGGCGCCGTTCACCAGGCCCACCGGGTTCCAGATATTCCTGGTCAACATCACTCTGGCGCCGATGCATACCGGGAAGCGGCTCGACAGGTTGCCGGCGTCTTTCGACTCGGCCTTACTTGCCCCGTCGCCTTGGTGGGTAGCCTCTACGTAGAGGGCCGGAGAGTTCAGGTCGACCATGTGGTCATGATTATAAGACCGCACCTTTTCTCTCGTCGGATAAATGCGTACGGCGTTCGCGAAACCGGCTTGTACTCTGGGTGAGAGATTGGACGCGCACCGGGAGACTAACAGCTCCCACCCCGTGACCGACACCCGAGCCTGTCTGAGCTCGACCAAGGCGTCGCGAAACCCGGCCTGGTCCGCCCCATGTTGCCGCTGGATTGTCTTCCAAGAAAACCCGAGTGCTCGAAGGCGCGGTAGGCATTGAGACCAGCAACCTCCATCTCCTTCATCAACCTGTCGTACTCGGCATAGATCGGCTTGTTCAGCACCGGCGGCAGCTGGAAGAAGTCTCCGATCAGAATGACGCTCAATCCGCCCGAAAAAAGAAAGTCATTCTTCTTCCGGAAAAGAATCTCGCGGAGCCGCCGATCGATCCAACCCAGAGTCTTGAGCCCCAGCATGCTCTTTTCGTCGATGACGAGGTAACGTACACCCGCAAAAACACGCTGTAGGTTCCCCAAAACAGTGGGTGTTTCGGTCAACCGGGCGGTAGTTGCCATCGATAGGCAAGCGGAGGAGGGAGTGCAGCGTCTGGCCATTGATCTGGTTGCTCGCGACCCCGGTGGGTGCGGCACGGAGAATGGGCGATTTTCGGCCGGGGAGAGTTTGCTGGAGGTGAGACGACAGCATGTTGACCATGTACGACTTCCCAGTGCCTCCGCCGCCGTCAACATGCAACAGGATGGGCGGTACGTTATCCCGTTCTAGGTGGCCCATAATAGTGTCGTACACGATCCTCTGTTCCCGGTTGAGGGTATCCCGGGCCTTCAGAGGAATGTGTTCAACATCTCCCGCCATACTGGGGTGCTCGACTTTGAGAAGATCCCAGTATTTGCCGCTGTCGAACCGTTCATCGATATACCGGCCGACGTGGGGATGCCAGTCGTACCTGATGTCGATATCTCGCCTAGTCAGTAGGTCGATCTCCTCGTGTTCTGGTTGGAGCTCAGGCACCATGCGTGCGAGCTCCTGCCAGTCTTCGAGACTGATATCTTCCTGGAAGGGTACAGCCCGGAACTCGTCCTCGTCAGCCGCGGGTTCCGGCGCTTCCGCCTCTCCGTAGTGGTCATCCTCATGTTCATGGTGCTCCAAGCAGTGCTCGTATGCCGCCACGTAGCCTGAGAAACGGGTACCGTCGAGGGTTAGAAAGCCGCCGCATTCCCGATGAGGGATGTGCCAGCATAAGCTTGACCCGGCAGAAGTCCTCGAACTGTACGTGCCCATGGACCGGCGTGTACCGCGGGAAGTAATACAACACCCTGGGCCGAGCGGGTGGGCGCCATTCCCTCCAGTTGCCCGGGTTTGGCGATTGGAAGTTCCACGTCTCCAGGAACCTGAAATACGACACCGCCTCCATGTCACTAGGCCGTTCCAGGTATTTCTCGTACGACGTCTTCTTCGTCTGGACAGCCTCATCCGCTTCGGAGAATTCTGCCAACCCGGTTATGCCTGTCAGCCGGTCGGCAGTCGACGCTAATCACAACGCGGCTGTCCTGGTAGAGGGGTAGCTTGAGGAGGATGTGGCACGTCTCCTGTGCGGAGTAATCCCTCTCGCCGATTAACTTGTTCATCATCCTCGAAACAAACGACAGCATGGGGTTCCTGTCCGAGACGTGTGGCAATATGGCCCCGGCGATCTCGGCGTACGTGCTGGTCTTGGTCTCGGTCTTGCTGCAGTATTTGGCGGCGTAGTTGATCACCGCCTCGATCCCGGTGCACGGCGAGATGTCGGTGTTGGCCAGCCAGCAGAGCGTGATGAGCCGGTTATACTGGTTCATGTGGGAGTCGTTCCGTACCGCCTCAAACGACCACCACGTCTTGCCCGGCCTTCTAACCAAGCCGGCTTCCTCTCGATGCGGGCGGGGAAACAGAAACCGGCATTCCGGTTCGGGGCCCGGCTCGCCGTTCTTCTCTGCCAGTTCCGCCGCGCGTTTGTTGATGCGCAAACAGTAGGTGGACGAGCAATGATGCCGTTGGCACCGGTTGAGGACGCGATCCAGCCAGTCCCATGTTACTTCCGTCTGCAGTGCGTCGACGTTCAGTGGGTTGCCGCCATCACCTCCTTGTCCAATCCGATGGGGCTGGGGGTTTTCCGCCGAGATGTGGTAACCCCACAAACGCGCGAACCTCGCCCTCTCCTCATCTGTGCTGGTAGCCTGCTGCGGGCCCTCTTCAAACCAGTACAGCCCGTGGTTATGACTGCTGCCTCGTCCTTGCCATTCGTACCGACACTAAAAGTCTGAAAGGTTAAATTTTTTGGTTAACACCACGTCTCGGAATGCCTTGAACCGCGTGGTGAAGTACCACGCCGCGATATGGGGGTTCTCGCGAAGCAGGCGACCGGACAACGAGATCCGAGCCGGCTCGTCCAACACCTGCCACCGCTCGAATTCCGGCATGTGCCGGTAGAGGTCGTGCCAGTGCAGATCGGCTGGGCTCAACGTGATGAATACGCCGGGGACGCCCAGACAGTGCGCGAAAGATTCGCACTCCCTGCGCCGGCGGTACCAATAGGGTCTCGTACCCTGAATCGCCCCAGCAAAGCGGGAGATCTGGTTGAGGATTGCCTGAGCTTCAGGACGGTCGGGATTCTCCAGTGCCTGTTGTAACTCCGCCTTGGTTAGGACGGTAGACCGCTGCTTGTTGACGTAGAACCGGCTGTGCCCATAGGCCTGCTGCCGCATGAGGGTGTTCAATGCGATGTAACGGAAGGTATGATGGCGGGCAAAACGCCCGTCATGCCACTTCATCGCATGCGCCAAGTAATCCGAGTAGCTGATGGCGCGTTGCCTCGGCTGGTTGAAATCAGCAAGACCGCGTGGGTAGAGGCTGGGACATGCTAGCGACAGCAGAGCCTGCGACCGGTTGAACTCGCTGATCGGCGTGAATCTGATGGGAGGCATTGGAAGGTGGTGAGCGTCGCGCGGTTGCTGCTGCTGCATTGGAGGACGTTCTTGGTTCTCCGGGCCGTTGTTTTCGAGTCCGCCCTGCAGCAGGGCGAATTCCGAATCCTTGACCAGCACGTTGGGTACAGCTGCTTCATCGAACCCCAGCCCATCCTCGTTCTCCGGCCTGTCACCGTCGACTGGGCCCTGGTCGGGCTCTAGGTCTTCCCAGCTGCTCACTTCGTGGATGGTAAGTTGATCGAAGATGGACTCGTCTTCGGGTAGCTGGCTTAGATTTGATTCGCTAAGGAGAAAGCCTTTGTAGCCAGGATGGTTGCGTGACAGGAAACGGAGCCAGGTAGCCACCACTCGGCGGCGAATGCGAAATCGCTTGCGAAACTGTCGGTCCATCGCGGGATCGGCTTCAGAACCGCTCGGACGCAGAATCACGATATCCAAATCCTTGGGCAGCAATGGAAGTTCGTCATAGACCTTGCCTACGTCGCGAAGGAAATGAACAACATGGCCGCGATATTTGTACTGCTGGCCCCGGACCTGAAAGCCAAAAGTAAGAAGCAATGCCAACAAAGATAGAAAGGAACACACCGTAAACACGTTGACTGCAACGTGGACCCGCGAGATAACCATCTCTTCGGCGGGATGGAGGATGGGTAGAGAGTCTGGCATCTCTCCAAAGTCCAGGTGGTTCTCGGCGGAGTAAAGGAAAGGTTCGTCAGCCCGCTTCTTGTCATCCTTTTGGTGACAGCGTTTGCAAACTCCATCCGCCTTTAGCTCAACATCAAACCAGCGTTCCCTTACATCTGAAACAAAGGCGCATGTTTTCCTGCGCAAGGCGCTCGTTAAACTCATGCTTGATAGTAACATCGTTTTTGCAAAGCGGAGATCCCTGCAGATCGCCCGTGTATTTAGGAGGCGGTTCGTTGAAATCGCGGGGCGGGACCGGCGGCGGGTCATTGACCGGAATTTTGCGAGGACGGCCTACTGGTTGTCTCGGCTTTGGTGGGCGACCATGGCGAATTTGGCTGCGTAGGGGCGCTGGAGAAGGTTCTGGACGAGTGACACGGCGAGGACGGCCACGTGGGCGGCGAGGAGCAGCTGGATTGTGAAGGGGATGTATCCGTGGTCGGCCAGGCGGACGGCGAAGAGTCGGATCGGAAGGGGGCTGTTTTCGAGGCCGGCCTCGCTTCCCTCGCTGTTCGATAGGCTCTTCCGGTACAGGCCCTTCTGCTACTGCGATGCCTGGCTCGGAGCGGGAATTGCTCCGGTCATCATCGCTACTTTGGTCGTCTCCTTCGACATCCTCTCGGCCCTTAGATTGCCGACGAAGCAACTCGCTCAGTCGGGGTGTCTGACTCGGCTCCTCATCATTACGCCGCAATGACCGGTGATCTCTCTGGATGCGGGCAAGCTCTTGACGAGCAGCAGCGACGGTGACAGAGTCGCCCTCTACCACACCGCCGGCGTGATACCGCTCACTCATCACAGCATGGGTGAGGTTCTTGCGCTTGGGCGGGGCCGCCACCTCGTCCGACACGTCAGAAAGCCTTTTGTTGCCTACAATCTCACGCATTATGGCAACGGAAGTGGTCGATTGTTTCACCTGTGCGATCTGTATTAGCAACAAATCAAGTATGGTGGGAAGCTATGGTTACTCTGTCGGCCGCCTTCTTCCGGCAAGCAAGACATCTTTGTACTGTCTTCGAGGAATCACGCAGGTGAACAAACTGCATGGCAGGCTGCTTCTCTCTGCAGTGGGAACAAACCCTCATTTCTCCGTTGATCTCCATGCTGGATGGGAACAGTTGGATTGGGAGGTAAATAACAACTGTCGCGCGAGTGTCCCAAAACAGACATGGGCTGATCTTATCCCGCCAATTTACGCGTCCAAAACACGATAGCAGAAATAGTGGAGACCGCAGCCCTGTCGACCAATTGGCAGATCGTATGATTTTTCGAGAGTTTTCTTCTATTTAAAATCACGTGACTTTACCATAATAATTCTTTTGGAGTTTGGCCGCAATATTGTCCTCCGGACAGGATTATTATTATTATTATTATTATTATTATTATTATTATTACCCAGCCACCCACCCCACCAACGACATGAAGCCAGGAGGGCCTGCGAAGGGCGAAGGGAGACACAGCTACCTCTTCGCCCACTGGGACGCGGCGAGGCCCTTCTCCCCCGGCTTCATGTCGTTGATGACGGTCACGGTGGAGCCGTCCGACCTGCGCACAGCCTTGGGGCGGTGCGGAGCTGCGGGCGTGGGGGGAGGAGAGTCGGGGGTGGGGGGTGGGTCTGGGGTGGCCGGGGCGGGGGGCGACGCCGAGGCGGGGTTCGGGGACGAACCGAGCGACGGGGGCGAACCGGGCAACAAGGGTGAGCTGAGCGACAGGGCCGAGACGGACGACGACGGCGAGCCGAGCGACGGGACCAAGACGGGCGACGGGGGCGAGTCCGAAGGAGCCCCGGGGGAGACCGGAGCGGAAGGCGAGGCGGCCGAGGACGAAGAGGGGGCCGAGGCAGGACCCGAAGGCGAAGGAGCTGGGGCCGGTGCCCAGCGGGACACCGACAGGCCGCGGTACCGCTTGGGAGCGGTTGGAGACGACGGCGCCGGGGCAGAGGCCGAAACCGAGGACGAGGGGACCGGGGAAGAGGCCGGGACCGAAGAGGCGGGGGGCGGGGCCAAAGCCGAAGAAGAGGGGGAAGGGCCGGAGAAAAGGGAGGGAGCCGGGACCAAAGCCGAGGAAGAGGGGGAAGGACCGGAGGAAGGTGAGGGGGCCGGTGCCCACCGATATGCCGACAGGCCGCGGTACCGCTTGGGGGCCTGGGAAGATGGCGCCAGCGTGGGGGAGGCATTGCCAGCGTTACCAGCCCCGGAAGCGGAGGGAGAAGAAGAAGTAGAAGTCGGCATTTTAAATAATGAAGTAAAAGAATTTGTCTGAGTAATTATGGGGGGGGGGGGAAGCAGAAGCCAGACGGGGGAAAGGACGAGAATATAAAGACAGCAACCTCGCGTTCGGACCTCCTGAGTGACTCACAAATCTAGCTCGCCACCGCACGGGTTATCGCCTTATGGGTGAGATAGATAAGGGGACTTTTATCAAAGCGCAAGCAAGTGACCGGCAGCGCTCAGATACCTAGCGTTGCCTACCTGTAGCGGGCACAAACCCCTTCCCATCGTTCGGACTCCTGACTGGCTCATAAATCCAGCTCGCCACCGCACGGGTCTTGTCGCCTATGTGTGAGATAGATAACGGGTGCCTTCACTCAGAGACCAAAATGGTAGGTAGTGTTGCCTAGAGGTGCGTGCGCGCCCCTTCCCATCGTTCCGTTGTAGGTGTGCTAGAGGCCCTTGGGACACTAGATTCCAGATGCCCTCACATATATCACCTACATAGCCCGAGCATCTCATCGGTTTGCCAAGTCATTCGAACTTGATAAAACGTACTGAAAGAGTGAGAGAGATTGATAAGATGGAGAAATAAAAAACAAATAGTAAGAGCAGGATAGACTACCTAACTTATTACAAAAGAAAGATGCCCCCGTTGTCATCGGCATCGCAAAAAGAAATACCAGGTAGACTGACCCGATATAGGAGACCTCATGTATCCTAATTTACCGCCCAAAGTTTGCCCAGTACGTAGATGTACTTGATTCACTCCCGAGCTTCTGGCGCCTCTACCATTAACATGAAAAATCAACAACACTATCGACACCTCCAGAAAACATTCCAACCATACCTATTTTTCTTTTCAGGTTCTAAAAGGCAAAGACCATAGTACTACCGAAGCCAGGGAAGGCGCCGCCAGTGTATCAGACCCCGGGAGGGTACAGGCCCATTGCGCTACTGCCAACCCTAGGGAAGGTAATAGAGTCAGTGGTCGCCAGGAAGGTCACTCAAGCTGCTGAAGTCAACGGCCTTCTACCAGACGAACAAATGGGGGACAGGGCACACCGCTCCACGGAGATGGCTGTTCGGCTAGTAGTAGCCCAGGTCCAGGAGGCATGGAGACAGAAGGCCGCGGCATCCCTATTGCAATTGGACATTTCAGGAGCCTTCAATACGGTTAATCACACACGACTACTGGCAACACTGCGAGAAATGGGCTACCCGAGGTGGCTCGTTCTCTGGACAAAAGACTGGTTGACGGGCCGAGAGTCCACACTCCTCTTTGACGGCAAGACGGCGGCACCGACGGCGATTCGGGCAGGGGTCCCCCAAGGCTCACCGCTCTCCCCTGTTCTCTTCATCCTCTATATTTCCTCATTATACAAGCAGCTAAAAGACGAACACCCTCACTTGGCTATAGAGGGGTTTGCGGATGACACCAACCTCCTGGTGTTTGGTCGAAACCCCGAAGCGAATGTCCGGCAACTAGAGGCGGCGTGGGGAACGTGTATACGATGGGTGGACAGTCAGGGGATGAAGTTCGCCCCGGAAAAGAGCGAACGGATCCATTTCAACAAGGGACGACGGCAATGGTCAAACCAGCTGGAACTCACCAGCCCAGGGAGAGGCACCAGCCCCGTCAGACCGAAGGAGTCTGCCAGGTTCCTGGGAGTCTGGCTGTACCGGAAGCTGAACTGGAAAGCCCACCTTGCAGCGGTGGAGAGGAAGCTGAGGACCCAGGGCTATGCCCTGTCGAGGCTAGCGGCGTCGACGTGGGGACTGGGGCTAGCCAAAGCGCGAGAAGTGTACACAAAGTGCATCCGGTCAGCGCTGGCCTATGGCGCATCGTCGTTCCACATCCCCACGGATGTGGGAGGCGAGCCGGTAAAGAAAGGCATCACCAAGGCCCTCGGGAAGTGTCACACGGATCACCACGTGGACGCAACCATCATCAATCGTTTTTTAGAGATCAATGGCCACTCATCGGAAGATGGGAATTCACACGGCCGAGCCTAGGAGGCTATGAGACTCTGCCAATTGTCCTTGTCCTCCTCTTCTCTCTGTAAGTAGGGTTCCAACCCCGTGATATCTCTCTCTGAGCAGCGAGGGTGGCGCCGCATGCAACCGCACCTGGCCTAAGCCGAGTGATCTCTCCGGCCTAGACCGACCGATATCTTGCCACGTTCTGGGCCTTGACCCTCATGTGCTCGGACCTCTTGGTCTACCTTCCAACACGTCATCTTCTCATCGAAACCCTTCATGTATGAAAGACTCAGAATGTCAGATAGCTCCAGAACTTCTCTTTCTCTCTTTATGGACTTCTCGAGGCCATTGAAGATTATTCTTATTAATACATTTGGTTTTGCCGGTTCCCCCGGCAGCTGATTGTTCAAGCCCTGGAATACCAGCCCTTGTAACAG